AAGATAAATGTCTTTTGTCCTGGACACAGGACTTTCCATCTGTCTGCTAACCAAATAACCATGGTCCCTTCTTTATTAATAATTGTTGAAGTGCTTGGGGTCCTCATACATCCCAGAAGCACCTCTTCCCTTTCCTATGGATTTGGATCCTTATTTCTAACACATTCGTTCATAGTTATGGCAAATTAATCTTTCCTAGGACAAGACCTTTCCACCAGAATAAAAGCCTCCTTTCACATAATCTCCATGTAGAAACAACTTGTATCTTTCTCTTAACAATGGGACCAGACTCAGGTGGTAAGATAGCATCTCCTAAACCCCTTCTCATCATATGTTACCCTCTATTCACACTATAGCATGGGGTACTGCTAATCCTTCCATAGCCTACCATCACTCTCCTGTCCTTGTCTCTCTGAAAGATCCTTCCTCCTACATAAGACAAGTACAATACTCCCCTATCCACAAAACATGGAGAGGCCTAATACCCCCAACCCCATTTCACCAAATCCTTCTGGAAGGACTCCTAGTTCCCACACTCTACCCTCATAACCCACCTATTCTGGGGATAAAAAATCAAAACAAACAACAATAAAAGCAAAATCCAAACAAACAGAAAAAACTAATGGGTTCTTCTTCCCAGTCCAAGTCTCTAGAAAAATCAACAAAGGTATAGTCCTCACTGTCCCAGTAGTCTCCCACCCTCCTTTCATCTATCCCTCCCAGCATAGCCTATTTTTTTATTATTTACTTAAAAGATACCTTTTTTTTTTACTGTATTGGACAGTCGGTCCTATGCCAGGACTTCCAGAACATCCTTTTCCTTCTTTGGTCAAGCCCTGCAAAATGACCTAGCTTCCCTAGACCTTTTTCCTACTTTCTTTGTGCAATATGTGGATGGCCTTATCCTCTGCAGCCTAATACATAAGAACAAACTTTGCCAATTCACAACCCTCCTCAATACTATGGGTTTCTGGGGCTATCAGGTGTCCAGAGAGCAGGCCCAGGTCTGTGCCGACACTGTTCACTATCTAGGCTACTTCCTCTCTCTAGGGGTCTCTCCATCCCCACTTCTTGGACTCAGCAATAAATAGTATACCCTTTTCTCAGATCAAAGAGAGAACTCATGGATTTGCTAGATCTTTTAAGCTTTTTCCATATCTGGGTACATAATTCTTCATATATAACACATTCCTTCTATGAGGTCTCTAAAAATCCTGTAGAGGAATCTCTCCTGTCTCCACAGTCTCACCAGAGACCCATAGACACAGTTTAAATCCTCCCTCTACCCTGGGCCTCTACCCTGAAGCTCCTGGATACCCTTAGACCCTTCTTTCAAAAGGCAGGAGATACATATTCTCCTGTAGCTCATTTGTCAAAGGAATCAGATATGGCCATGAAAGGCTGGCCCTTATGCTTGCAAAGCTTGGCTGCCTTGCACTCCTGATTCCAGAAGCTAACAATATTTTGCTTTACATCTTGTTCCATGTATTCAATTTGCATTCACTCAGGTTGCTCCTAAATCATCAAGCCTTCCTCTCTTTACCCCAATCTTGGGTACAGATCCTCCATACCTTCTTTAGTTCCTAAGGAGTGGGCCAAAAAAGCTGTGAAAGTGGTGGAGGTTTCATCCTTCCTGCCCCAGCCTACAGCTGCAGTAAGATGCTGCTACAGGATCTGTCAAAAGGCCTGTTCCAGTCGATAGGGTACCACTACACCTCTTCAACCTGCAGCTGTCACAGGAGCTGTCCATGGTGGTGCATCTCCTTTCTGCCTCAGCCTACAGCCTTGGAGAAATCCCATCACAGGAGCTGTCCACATTGGCAGCACCTTCTCTCCAGCCTTGACAAGCAACTCCACAGAGATGGTACTTCAGCCAAAGTTGCCTGCAGCCAAGAAGGACTTCCCACCCTAACTGAAAGGGGTTGAAGAAGAGCCACCAATCTCTGAACAGGAAAACTCACCAATCCCTAACCAAGAAAACCCACCAATCCTTGAGCTCCCCAAGCTCAGGACTTGAAATCCCACCAGGCTTCAATCTGGAAATCTCTGCTCTGAAAAGCTTCACCCCTCTAAGAAACTCTATATGAGCCCCGTGCTGTCCACTCCCAGGAGCAGAGGGCAGCCCTTCCTGGATTCATCCCTCCACACCTGGGCCCTCCAATAAACCTATTTCATGAGATTTGCTACCTGGTATGACTTTCTTATCAGAAGAAGCCCAATGAAGAGAAGAAGGGAATAAGCAAAGAACTGGAATGGGGCTAAGGCTCTTGAGTTTCCCAGCCCAGTTGGAGATACCCTCCCCTGGGAGCTACACTGCCTCTGTTGAGGAGGCTTCCTCTCAGAGCTGTGTGGTTTCTGAGCTCCTGTATCTCAGGATATCCTTCCCTTGGGACACTTTCCTACCTCAAAGCTTTAAGGTGCCTGAGTTCCCATGTCTCAGGATGCCCTTCCATTAGGATACCTTCTCCCCTCAGAGCTGTGTATGTCTTGGACTTCCAAGTCCCAGTATACCCTTCCATTCTAGCAGAAACACTTAGACCTTTCTTCTGGACTCCAACCTCACATTTGAACCCTCTCTTACACTCAGCTCAATTACCCCTCTACCTGCCACCTCTTTAGCCACAAACTCATATCACCTCACTTACTCATCCCAAGAGCCTGTATCTCATCATGAATGTGAGCCCTTCTCATGTATTGTCAAGTATCCTTCCCCACAGACCATGGACTAGTAGTTCATAGATGGCAGCTTCAACAACAACAACAAAACTCTCCTGTACAGTTGGATATCCCATGATTCAATAATGCTCTCACTTCTTACCTACACAACTCTCACTGAGGCCAAATCCATTCCTCCCCATACCACTTCTCTATAGGCAGACTTGACAGCTCTAACAAGGGCCCTCCCCATAGCTGAAAAAGAAACAGGTTAACATTTATATTGACTGCAAATATACCTATAACTATCCACTCCAGCATCCAAATCTGAAGACAGGAGATTCCTATCCCAAAGAGGAACACCCATTACCACTACTACTCAGAAACTACTAGAGAAAGCATTGCTACCTGCTACTGTCTCAATAGCAAGGGAACACCAGAAGGATAGACAATATATTTTCCTGGATGATAATGCAGTCAATAAACTGGCCATGGAACTGCTCTCACACACGTGGATCTCAAGAAGTAGAAAGGACCAAAACCCCAGCTCCCTTCCCATATAATGGTAACCCTGACACTAAAACTCACTTAAGCGCCCTTCCATCACAGAACAGATAGATGGAACTGACCCCAATGCTTCCTTTCTTTCACTCTTTCCTGAAGGACTCCTAAAATGTTTGGTTGATGCCATGACCTCAGACACTCTTGACGAGTTGTGGTTCTAGGGAACTCTATTCGGGATATACTAGACCCAATTCAGTTTTTCTCTATCTGCCTATATTGCCCCTATCCACTGCAACACTTAGATCTTATTTAGCAACTTTATTGCTTTGCTTCTCTTGATGGGTTTGCTGTCTAAGATCCCCGATGAGTAGGGTTTGGTAGAGAAGCTATTCCCTTCTCCAGAACCCTCTCTTCATTATTTTTTTTCAAAAATTTTTAGGGAGGAGAGAGAAAAGGAAGTTTCAGGGTATTTAGATGGCACTCTGACTTCTTGGCAACTACACATAACCTAATCCTGCTGCTCTCTGAACCATACCATGGCTTTCATCAATAGAAACAAGCAACATTATAGCTATGTACAGTGTGTGTGGGGGGGAACAGTGCTGGAAGAGTGGAGAAGGGTAGTAGGGAAAAGAACTCAATAAGGTAGCCAAAAGTCCAGTTACACACATACCCAAGAACTCCATATCTTCCAACAGAGGTGTTTACATATCTGTACACATTGTATTCTCTATTCATAGTAGCTAAGAGATGGGATCACCCTGCATGCCTATTAACTGGTGAATGGAAAATGAATATGTAGTACACATACATAATGGAATTTTATTCGGCTGTAAATGTAGTTCAATGGTTGGCATACTTGCCTACCTTATATGATACCTCAGGTCCAATTATTAGTATCACCAAAAAAGAAGAAAGATAAGAGTTCAGATAGTCTTCTGTTATGGCAGATATTACTTGACACACTATAGGAAAACCCTAGAGGTGGGACTGAGAAAAAGGCTCTTGGCATAGGGGATGCTTAATTCCTTTCCTAGCAAACAAAGTAACTTCTCCAGTACACATCACTTCAGAGATAAAACAAGGGGAAAATGACTCAGTGAAATCTTATAAAGAAGGACTGGATAATTGGTTGATGCTTGCATTTACAGAAAACTTTGATTTTATAACTATAAATGTCTTCTTTTGGTAGACAATAAAGTTCAAAAAAGATTCCAGTGGGCCCTACAAGTTGTTTTTGTTTTCAAATACAGACAGTAAACAGCTGTCTCTTGGAAGGTTTATTTCTCCACCTTTTGGGATCAAAGCAAATAAAGTATCTGAATGAAACTAGTAAGTATTTGTTCTATCATACTGTCAGTTGCTCTGGTTCTGAGCTTTTGAGGCCTTCCTGGGGAGGAGAATCAGGAGCCCTTTTTGGACTGGGCACTACTCTCCAAGATCATCCTTTTATAGACTCTCTTAATAGTTCAAACCTAGCTGAATTCCTCTTCCTCTGAGGAGAAACTGGGTAAGTGAGATCCTGAAACAGGTTTTACTGGGTTAGAAAATAACCTTCTTGGGCTATGCATGCGGTGGCTCAATAATAAGAGGGGACATGAGCCATTCTAGTAACTATTGTATTTTATTAACTTTTTTAAACAAATACAACAAAACAATGTCTTTTCTTTCATAAAAGTAGTTTAAAATTTTTTAAGTTTCCACAACTATCAGCTTAGGAAAATAAAGAGAGGAAAATATTAATGAAAAGTTAACCAAAGGAAACTTCATGCATAAGATAAGTGAATGAATGCAAACTATGTGTATGTCTGCCCAGCCCTGACAGCCGCTGTCAGAGGTCCTCAGCTGAATAATGCAGAATTCAAAAGATCCTCTAGATCTTTCTTTCTCAAAGGAGGGATTTTGGTGACTTCAAAGTAGGTCCTGCAAAAGGAAGAGTAGTCTGCTTAGAGGAAAATAAGGCAAAGAAAAATAGGCTCCACAGAAGAAATGGCACATCAGAGCCTCTGGCTTCCCATCTGGCTTTAACTATAGAATAGAAAGGAAGGTGTAAAGTTCCTGAATCCTCTTTTTAAAGTGAGATTTGTCTAGGCCCACTGTCTTAAAGGTTTCTTATGAATGAGTATAAACTTCACTTTAACTGTGGTTTGATACTTACTCTTCAGAATACTTCTCAAACACATTCTTGAGCATATGGGATCGGAAGTTCAGCAAATGGTTTAGCTTCCTGACCAAGATATGGAGTTCAGCTATCTGGTAGCCAGTGTAATATTCCAGTGAAGGAACCTGACAAAAAGAAGAATGAACATTAACTTCTATTATTGGAAGTATACCCTGACTCCAACTATGCTTTTCAAGTCTAAATATCCCATCTCTGGTCTAGGCAGGGAGAGACTCAAAACATTTCAAACATTCATACAGTACAGATCTGATTAAAAAATATAGGCTAGTACCTAAAAGAATAAGTTTTAAACACAAACTTCCAAGATGATTATGTTCAAGTGTTATCATTTATGTTAGCCCTAACTAAGTAGCCCTATTTAGTTCATGGATGCTAAAATTCACCAAAGACCAAAGAATAAGTTTTAGAACTTTACCCCAGACAAATCATACTCATTGCTTTAGCGCCTTCATGTCTTTTCAGTTAATAGTTTGTCCACACTGAATATCTCCTCTCACAAGTTTCTATTCATCTTTCAAGACTGAACTTAAAAGTTACCCTTGTGGTGTGTGCAGAGAGTGAAATATATGAAGTAGTTGGGAGGGATGCTTTAAATGAGGACGGTGGTAGAGGTACAGGAAAGCAAATGTGAAGGTGTTAGCTAACTAAAACTAATAATATATGAAAAAGCCATATAGAAACCCATCATGTTGTGAGCTAATGTTAAAATATAATTTAAAAAAGACTTTGAACAACAACAACAACAAAAGGTATTGAAAGCTACAAGGAAAACAAACAAAAACAAAAACTGAAGTCATGTATAAAGGAAAACCCATGAAAATAACAGCTGATTTCTTAATGAAAATTTGAAAACCAGAAGAGCCTGTAATAATTCATTCAAATTCCAAAAAGACCATCATCATCCATGTTGACCATACTCAAAAATATCTGCTATAGTTAAAGGAGAAAGACAGACTTTCTAAGATACAAATATCTTAAAAAATATCTTCAACAAACCGAATGTAAAGAAAATGTAGGAAACGATATTTTGAGCTGAAAACAACAATGAGCATAGCCAAGAGACTGAGGACAGAAACACAAAGCCATAATTACTAAGATACAAAGTACCGCTTGACACACAAACAATTCCAAAATCAACAACACAATGACTAAAATTAACACAAACCTTTCAAAAATAATTTTAAATATGAATGGCCTCAATTTTTTCAATCAAAAACACTGGCTGGTTGAACAGAAGAAACTAAATCCACCTATCTGTTGTCTTCAAGAAACACATCGTTAAAGATAGCCACAACATTGACTTAAGATAGACAAAAGTACTCTAATCAAGTTGGAGCAAGAAACAAGGAAACTTTATTATTCTAATATCTGACAACACAGATTCCACACTAAAAGTAATCAGAAGAGATAAAGAGGAACAATTCATTCTAATCAAGGGAACAGTTAACAAAAAGACATTACTATCCTATATATGCATCAAACTCTGGGGTGCACAATTTCATTTAAAAATTATTGTTGGATTTAAATACAGATTAACTTCAACCCAATAATAATAATAAGTGGCTTCAATATCCTACTTTCTCCAATAGACAAGTCATCTGCACAAAAGCTAAATAGAAAATTATCAGAAATTAATGACAGCATACATCAAATACAGATATATACAGAGTATTCTACCCAAACATTAAAGAATATCCATTCTACTCAGCAACACATGGAAGCTTCTCTAAAACAGATCACATCCTGGGGCACAAAACAGATCTTTAAAAATTCAAAAAGACTGAAATCACTCCTTGTATCCTATTTGAACACAATGGAATATACATATATATAAAATAAAGTCAGCGTTATTAAGCTACTTGTTGCTTAATGATTAATGGGTCAAAGAAAGTATCAAAAAGGAAAACACTTCTTAGAACTAAATAAAAATGAAATCACAACACAAGAAAACCTCTAGGATGCAACGAAAGTAATCCCACATGAGAATTTATATCTCTAAGTGTCTATATTTAAAAAATAAAAAAACAGAAAGAACATAAATGTCTTACTGATAAAACTCAAAATTTCAGAAAAATAAGAACAAACTAAAACCAAACTCAGTCGATGGAAAAACTAATAAAAATCAGAGCAGAAACCAATAAAAAGGAAATAAAAAAATATAAATAATCAACAAACCTAAAAACAGTTTTTGGGTTTTTTGTTTGTTTGTTTTGTTTTTTTTTCAAAGATAAACAAGATTGACAGTCCCTTTGGACCAACTAATCAAAATACAGAGAGGACCTGAATTAACAGAATCAGAAATGAACAGGGAAATACTACAATGGATTCCAGATAAATTCAGAATGTCACTAGGGAAACATTTTCTAAAATCTGTGCTCTATTAAGATGGAAAACATAAAATAAATGGGTGGGTTTCTACATTCAGACAAACCATTAAAATTAAACCAAAGAGTCAACTCAAGTATCTGAATAGATCCATAACAAATGAGAAATTGAAATAATAATCAAAAGCCTCCCAACACCCCCTCAAAAAGGTCCCTAGCTGCATGGATTCACCAATGGACTTCTAGCACACATTCACAGATCTACAACTCATCTTTCTTAAAATATTAAAAAACAATAGAAACCGAAGGAGCACTCCCAAATTACTTCTATGAAACCATTAACACTCAAGCATACAAAACATGTAAATACACAATAAAAAAGCCAATATCCCCAATGAACATACTCAAAAATACTCAACAAGAAACCTGCAAAAAGAATATAGACATACATCAAAAAGATTATACACCATGACCAAATTTAACTTATCCCTGAAATGAAAGGTCTGTTCAACATTTGCAAGTCAATCAAAGTTGAATAAGCCTTTGACAAAATTCAACACATCTTCAGGATAAAAGTCCTACAGCAGCAGTTCTCAAATGGTGGGTCATGACTCCTTTGCAGAGGGGTGGGCGTTGAATGACTCTTTCACAAGGGTCACATCAGATATTTACCTTACTATTTATAACAGTAGCAAAATTACAGTTACGAAGTAGTAACTAAAATAAATTTATGGTTGTAATCACCATGCTTGAGGCACTGTATTAAAGGGTCACAGCATTGGGAAGGTTGAGAAGCACTGTCTTAGAGAATGAAGGGTTAGCGCAAACATACTTCAACACAATAAAAGCTATATGCGAGAAACCATAGCCAACATCATCCTAAATGAAGAAAAACTTGAAGAATCCCACTGGAGTCTGGAATGAAACGGGCATGTCCATCATCCCCACTCCTTTTTAATATTGTACTCAAAATGCTAGCTAGAGCAATAAGACAAAAATATAGAGGGACACAAATGAGGAAATAAAATGTCAAACTATCCTTATTTGCAGATGATAGTATATATTAGAGAATCTAAAAATTCTACCAGAAAACTTCTGGAAATGTTAAATTCAGCAATCTGGTACAATACAGAATCAACCTTTATAAATCAGCGGTTTTTCTAACACTAGCAACAAACTTTACAGAAAGGAGATTATGGATACTCTCATTTACAATGTTTTAAAAGAAAACAAAGTATCTAGAAACAAACCTAACAAAGGAAGTAAAGAACTCTACAATGAAAACTTTACACCTCTGAAGAAAGATACAGAAATAGACACTAGAAAATAGAAAGACATTGCATACTCATGGATTGGTAGAATTAATTTTGTGAGAACAACTCATTTTGCTAAAGCTATTCATAGATTCAGTGCAGTCCAAATCAAAATCCTCAATCTCATTCTTCACAGAGACAGATAAATAAAAATCCTAAACTTTATATGAAACCACAAAAGACCCCAGAAAGCCAAAATAATCCCAAGGAAAAGAACAACGTTGAAGGAATTATACTGAAGGTATTAAGATATGTAACAGAACAATAGGAATAAAATCAATATGATACTGTCACAAAATAGACATGTGTATCAATAATGATATTGAAGACACAAATATGAGCACACATAACTCCAACCACTTAATATTTGAAAAAGACACCAAAAACATAAACCAGAGAAAAGAAAACATCTTCAACAAATGATTCTGGGAAAACTGTCTGCACACATGCTAAAGAATACACGTAATCCATACTTATCACCTTGCCCAAAAGTTAACTTCAAATGGATCAAAGACCTAAACATGAAACCCAGAACATCAAGACTTCTAGAAGAAAAGAGAGGTTGTGCTCTATACAATATAAGTGTGTAGAAAAGAACTCCCTGAATAGGATTTTATTTGCCCCCAAGTTAAGGCCAACAACTGACAGAGTGACTTCATAAAACTAAAAAGCTTCTGCACAAATTAAGAAATAATCACCTGGAAGAAGAGGAAGTCCACAGAATGGAAGATAATCTTTGCCAGCTATACACCTAACAGAAGATTAACATCCAGCATATATAAAGAAGTCAAAAAACAACTAGTCAAAAACAAATGCCTCATTCAAAAAATGGGCTTGGGACCAGAACAGAGTTTTCTCAGAAAAAGTAAAAAATGGTTAAGAAACACCTCAAAAAATGTTCATCATCCCCAGTAATTAGAGAACTGGAAATAAAACAACTTTGAGATTTAATCTTACCCTAGTTATAATGCAAAAGATCGGTAGAAACATGAAACACTTAAAACTGCTAGAAAAAAACACATTTGGTGGCAGTTCACCCAACTGTCTATGTAGTATTTTCTCAGCATTCAAAGACTTGCTCATCAAGAGTGGCTCAGAATTTCTAGATAAGAGGTCTTAGAAATGTTTCAAAAAGTGCATTGTTACCATATTGTCTCTACTTTGATTATTTGTTACACATCTGTAAGAATTCTAAGTTTTCAAAGTTACTTTTCTGTACAATGTTTTATAAAATTGAGAAAAGAATCAAGTATGAATTTTAATTACAGGTGTTGACAAGTATTTGGAGGCGTTCTACTTGAAAGGTAGCAATACAAGCATGGACAGATCCTTGCACTAGCCTCGTCTCCGGATCAGTGTTTCTCAAACTCTAGTCTAACAAGAGCCTTAAGAGGCCAGCTCTTCTAAGGGGATTGCAAGGGACAGGAATGGAATTGGGTAAAGGATAGTGAGCCCACCATAGCCCCTGACAATCAGAGTGACTTCATATTGATCTGTTTTGCAATTTTGGTGTTTGTGGGAGGCTCTACTTAAAACAAAGAGTGCTATAGGCTGAGAAAATCTAAATATTTGAACGTAATTACTGTAATTACTTGCCCATATGTTGTTCAGGTGTTAAGCCACAGGAATGCAGGAATTCTGTTACATGAGCTTCTCATAGTCCTAATTTTCATCCTATCTCTGACTCATCATAAGCATTTACTCCAAGTAGTTTTGGTGTGTGTGTACATGCACAAGTCATAGGAGAATTTTCAGGTGTCCTGCTCTATCATAGTCCACCCTATTATTTTGAGACAGTATCTCACTGAACCTCAAGCCAGGCTGGCAGCCAGAAAGTTCCCAATGATTCTTTTGTTTTGACAGCCCCCACATCCCCCAACACACACCCAACACACACACACACACACACACACATGCACACACAGAGAGAGAGAGAGAGAGAGAGAGAGAGAGAGACAGAGACAGAGACAGAGACAGAGGGACAGAGACTGAGAGACAGAGACAGACACAGAGAGAGATTACTAAGGGCACAATCAAGCAATCAAGCCTGGTTATATATAGCTTTCTACATGAGTGCTAGGGATTTGAACTTAGAACTTAGTGACTGAGCCACCCCATCCATTTACACAGTTGCTGAGATTCCTCATATAGAGGGCCAAGATGAAGGAGGCTGCAGCTAGCTTTGAAGGCCTCTCTTCAATATAGTCATATTCCTGCAGGGTCATCTCACAGATGAAACGGGATAAGGTTAGTGTCTTCATGCTAGCACGGATACACTAGAGGAAACAAGAAGAATAGCAATCAATTCAGAAAGACAGCGCCAGGATGAAAAATCACTTTCAAGTTATCTTATCCATAGTCCACATGGCTCTCTGCTTGAACAATGTACTTGTACTAGCATCAGCCCTTTGACTCCTGCCTACAAAAATGCAGACACTCTAGGAGAAGCTTGTGATACTGGCATGGGGGTTGAGATCTTTAAGGCTCCTAAACAACGAAGTGTATACGGTTTGACTCTTCTTGCTATAATAGTCATCCTTTGATGGGTCAAAGTCTCTCAACTGTGACTCTGCTCACAGTCTTACTCTAGGAGATGGTTCATGCTCCAAAACATTCCATTCTTTCTTATGTTTGAAAAAATGTTAATTTATAACACACATAAAAACACATTTGAAACAATTGAAGGACACAATGAATTATAAGGTGATCTTCCCCAATAATCAATATTCAGCTAAGGAAAATAAGATTGCCAACATTTCCCCAACATGTATAGGTCCTCTACTGATCAAAGAATATTTTTACCTCATCCCCTACTTTACCCCTATTCCAAAACTTTATAGCTACACCACAGAAATCTATAATGTGCACTACCCTAAGTATCTGATAAAATTTCACCTAGAAGTCTGTCAGACACTCTAGATATAGAAAAAATAATCCAGAAGTCAAAATAACTAAGCTGTGTCTCCCTTTTACCGAAGCGTATCTACGCAGAAAATTATATGCAGTGGGAATATTGATGTCAAAGTTCAGAGTTTTCAGGATGCTTCTTTCCAAGGACACCATATCACTCTTCTGATAAACATCTTCACAAATGTACAGGAACTCTTTCAGAGAAGGGGGATAGGATTCCTGTGGATGGAAAGAGACATAGTCATCCATATACACATCCTTTAGTCTCTAATTATTATAAAAGGAAAGAAAGAAAGAAGTGAAGGATAAGTAGGAGTTGACCACATTTCTAGACATAGACTTTCAGGGCAGATCTGAGCCAGTATTCGTTTATTTGAATGGCTCAACAGAAAGAAAAAAAGAAAACAGAAAAAAAAGAGAAGAGTTCTCTGACCCAAATTCTACTAACATCAGGCAGAGGGCTGGGCTAAAGGTTATGGTCACTTATAATGCTAAAAAAACAGCCTATCCCCCCTTCCCTTCCCCCTCTCTCCACGTGGTCATGGCCGGCCTCTACTCCTCTCTACTTCTCTCTCTCTCTCCTCTTGCTCTCTCACTCTCTTAATAAACCTCCCCTCGTGGAAAAAAAAAAAACCAGCCTAATATATAATAGCATCTGAGAGTAGGAATGTGCCTTCCTGGGGGGTGAGAATCAGAACTCAGAAGAGATCCAAAGCTTGCTATGAGAAAGGAATGGAAGGAAGCCAAAGAAAGATGAGCTAGAGATAGAGAAAATATACATGGCAGAATAAGGAGCGGGGAGTTCGAGTGTGTTGTGAGTACCACTGTGCCAAGAGTGCCATCCTATCCTCTGTTCTCTAGATGCTGAGCACTGGTATGTGAAAACCATGAGGATAAAAAAACCCTTGAAGTTTTACTCAACATAGAGATCACTGTCCACTCCAGCCTTAGTTTCTTCTTTACCTCCTTGCTGTCCTTCCCTCCGCTCTCTTCCTTTCCCTCCATTCCTCCTCCCCTTGTGGAGTCATCAGGTTCACATACCCCCATATTACTTGTTCCTTTTCCCACAATCATCCTAATTCCACACCTCCCTAAAACTCTCTTTCGGCTCACCTGTATCGTGACATTCCCCACTCACTCCCGCCTCCTATGTTCTACCATTACTTTCCTGTTTTTTGCAGTTACTGCAGGATATATTCACAGCTGATGATTTAGAATTAAAAAGCAGCAAATCAGAGAACACATGGCATTTATCTTTCTTGGACTTGGATACTTCACTTAATATACTATTTTCCTTTTCTTTCTTTTTTTTAACTAATTTTTTATTGGATATTTTATTTACATTTCAGATATTATCCTCTTTCCCTACTTTCCCCCACCCAGAAACCCCCTATCCCATGCCCCCTCCTCCTGCTTCTTTGAGGATGTCCTCCCACCTACCCACTCCCTCCTCCCTGTCTTCGAATTCCCCCACACTGGAGCATCCAGCCTTCACAGGACCAAGGACCTCCTCTCCCACCTATGCCCGACAAGGCCATCCTCCCCTACATATACAGCTGGGGCCATGGGTCCCTCCCTATGTGCTCCCAGGCTGGTGGTTTAGACCCTGGGAGCTCTGGTCTGTTGGTATTGTTGCTCTCCTTATCAGGCCACAAGCCCCTTCAGATCCTTCAGTCTTCTAACTCCTCCATTGGGAACCCCTTGATCAGTTCAATGGTTAGCTGTGAGCATCCACCTCTGAATATTTCAGGCTCTGGCAGACCTCTAAGGAGACAGCTATGTCAAGTTCCTGTAAGCATGCACTTCCTGGCATCCACATTAGTGTCTGCCTTTGGTGACTGCACATGGGATGGATATCCAGGTGGAGCAGTCTCCGGACAGTCCTCCTTTCAGTTTCTGTCCCATACTTTGTCTCCATATTTGCTCCCATGAGTATTTTGTTACTTCTAAGAAGGACCAAAGCACCCAGACTTTGGTCTTCCTTGTTCATGAGCTTCATGTGATCTATGAGTTGTATCTTGGGTATTGCTAGCTTTTGGGCTAATATCTATTTATCAGTGAGTACATACCATATGTGTTCTTTTGTGATTGGGTTACCTCACTCAAGATGATATTTTCCAGCTCCATCCATTTGCCTAAGAATTTCATGAACTCATTGTTTTTAATAGCTGAGTAGTATTCCATTGTGTAAATATACCACATTTTTTGTATCCATTCCTCTGTTGAAGGACATCTGGGTTCTTTCCAGCTCCTGGCTATTATAAATAAGGCTGCTATGAACATAGTGGAGCATGTGTTCTTGTTATATGTTGGAGCATCTTCTGGGTATATGCCCAGGAGTGGTATAGCTGGGTCCTCAGGTAATGATATGTCCAATTTTCTGAGGAACCGCCAGACTGATTTTTAGAGTGGTTGTACCAGCTTGCAATCCCACCAACAATGGAGGAGTGTTCCTCTTTCTCCACATCCTTGCCAGCATCTGCTGTCACCTGAGCTTTTGATCTTAGCCATTCTGACTGCTGTGAGGTGGAATCTCAGGGTTGTTTTGATTTGCATTTCCCTGATGACTAAGGATGTTGAACATTTCCTTAGGGGATTCTCGGCCATTCGTGTTTCCTCAGTTGATAATTCTTTTTTTGTTGTTTTGTTTTTCTGTTTTTGTGTTTTTTGTTTTGTTTTTTGTTTTGAGAATTCTTTGTTTAGCTCTGTACCCCATTTTTAATAGGATTATTTGATTGTCTAATATACTATTTTCTAATCCATTTACCTTCAATTTTCACAATTCATTTTTGTTCACAGCTGATTATTATTCCATCATATATTATATTACATATAATATATTATATATATAATATTTTAATCATCCATTCATCTATTGAAAGACATTTAGATCATTTCAATTTCCTAACTATTCTGAATAGAGGCATATATACATTGCTAAACATGTTATTTGTGAAGTAGGAATATCAAGTTCTTAGGATATATGCCTAGGAGTAGTATAGGTGGGTCATATGGTTCATTTATTTTTAGCTTTTGAGAATTTTTTAAGCTTAATTACAGAATGGTTGTACCAATTTTCATTCTCACCAATAATGAATGAGGGTTCCCCTTTCCCTATATCCTCTGTAGCATTTGTTGCCAGTTGTTTTGTAATGTTCCACCAAAAGCCACAGATTATCTACCAAACTTCTCAGAATCAGGCAGGAGAAACCTCTTTTCAAGCTGTTGGCCATGATATTCCAGAAGACTCTCAAGACAACATAAACTATTGCTGTTACCCTTGGCTGGCTCCCAGAGATTGAAAGAAAGTATCTGTTGCTGAAGACATCACACACTTTGGAAACATGCAACTTTGGATAGAGAATTTGAAATGGATCTGGCCTGAAAGCTTCCTCCCTGAAGTATAGTTTTCATAGTACCAGAAGCAACCAACCATCTTACCCAGCTATGATACTTGTAAACCACAACAATGATAAGCATAGCAAGATATCCCTAAAGGTACAATAGTGACATTCCTATCTTGGTGGTAACCAACAGCTGTCTAATTAGACTCAAGGCCACCCACCTCAACAGAAAGAAAACAACACCTGCTCCTGGACACCTATCCAAGTTCCCAGGACTGGTGAGATATTGATCTTAGAGAAGAATCTACTACTGATGCCTCACTAAACCAACATAGTAATTCCTAACTGCATTTTAAAACTTATTCTTATATCTACAGATAAGTGTAATTCCCACCTTTCATCAAAGAAGCTTCACTTTGAAGCAGAGCATGTATAAACCACTCCTGGGCATATACCCAGAAGATGCTCCAACATATAACAAGGACATATGTTCAACTATGTTCATAGCAGCCTTATTTATAATAGCCAGAAGCTGGAAAGAACCCAGATGTCCTTCAACAGAGGAATGGATACAGAAAATGTGGTACATTTATACAGTACAGTATTACTCAGCTATTAAAAACCATGAATTCATGAAATTCTTAGGCAAGAATTCCCCTAGACAAGGATATAGCTGTTAGAACAAGAAAAGCTTTGGGAGAGGCTAGGAAATCATGAATAAGCAGGAAGTTTTTAACAGAACAACTTATCAAATGAGGCACCTTTACTATAACATGTCTTCAAAGACTAAACAAGTGAACCTTTCTGATGCCAGGACAAATATGCCACCAGTGTTAATCAACAACTTTCCAGATTTGAAGAAATAGACAAAAAATTGATTTTATATATACATATGTATGTATATAATTTATTTGTACATATAGATAGATTTATAGATATGCATAAACACAATTTTTCCTATGTATAAATACATTTCCATATTCATTCTCTGTTTAGGATGGATATTTGATAAGTTCTCCTCAGACCTTGAGGATTCAGACTCACCTCAAATTTGGCTGCAATCATGTAGGCAGTAGAACCAAGGAGCTGTAGATGATTCTTCTTGCATTGTGCCTTCATTAGGTAGCGATCTATTAGCTTCACTGCCAAATACAGGGTCTCATGGCTCATCTGAAAGGATGTCTGAAGGAACAAATAAGATAGGAGTCTGCATATTTTCCAAATAAATAGCCAGTACCAAAAAAATCTAGAAACCTTGCCTGTCTGGAGCATCAAGGATAGCCCTAGACAGTTTGTATTCAGCTAGGAATACAAAAAGGTATCATATATACCTTAATCTAACCCCTTAAAGGACCCTGCAATTATCTGTAATTATCATTTGGATAGAAAATCAACCTTACAAGCTAGACAGAAAATGTATACCTTGCCTGTGATTGACTCAAGTCCATATGCCCCTTTTCTCCTTAATCTCTAATAGTCACATTTTTGTTTTCCTTGTTTATTAGTAACTTGTAATCTCCACAGAAATGGTGTTTCTTTATTTCTGAAACACAGAGATGTGGCTAAAAGTCAAGTTCATAACAGGTCCATCCTCCCCTCTAGAAATTCTAATAAATAATATATTATCTTTCCTTTTTTAGTTTATAGAGGCAACTCACAATTTTTTTTAGTCTGTTGCCTCTTTCATCTTCCAAACCTATAAGCAGACAAACCTTTCTCATATTATATTACCTGGTCTTTAAGGACATTTAAGGACATATTAGGCTCACTCTAATAGTCTGAGATCATTGGTGTATCACAAACTCTGTTGCTTATCAACTTTAACATTTCAAAGGTACTGGAGATTCTTACATGAACATTTTATTTTGCTTTCCACAGTATCCAAATGAATGTCTTAAGATAGAAATGGGAAGGTTAAAAATAATGGCTACAATCTTAAGTAGGAAATTGAAACTAGCTAATTACTAAATAAATAAATGATTATGGTAGGGATAGAAAACAGTATGTAAGGATAATGTTTCTGGGAATACAGCCAATGTGAACATAGCCATTGCTTCCTTCTAGTACACATAGCTGCCTATTCATGCTTGTATTAAATCATAACATATAAATATGTGGATAATAAACAAATTATAATCCTGTGTGTTTTCATGTATATATGTGTGTATACATGTAGAGGTCAGAGGTCAACCTCAGGTATTGTCCTCAGGTGCCATCTACCTTAGTTTTTGAGACAGTCCCTGCTAGGCTAGGCAGCCAGTGAGCTCCAGTGCTGGGATTACTGACACATACTATAATGCTCATCTTTTTATGTATAGGCTGGGGATTCATGCAGGTCCTCATGCTTGGTTGGCAGAGAGACTTCTATCTTAGTAAATAGAGTATAACAGAAGTATAGCAGAAGATGGAAACAAGTTCTTTCCTGCTACATTTTTGCTGGCTACAACTTACAGTCCCAGGAATCCTGGTGCTAAGCCATTTGCAGACAACTTGCTTCTGAGAGAGTTTAATAGGTAGCAGAGCTGTGTGCTTTCTTCAGGCTATTTAAAGTCATCTCTTGATGCAAGTATTTTTACACTTGATCTTAGCCAAAAGGCTGAGAAGCTATGATGCAAGTATTTTTAAAACAAGAAGTCAAAAGTAAAAGAAAAGAAAGGTAGAAAAAGGTAAAATCATATATAGGAAAACAATTTTAAAATTTTGCAGCCAAAGAACAAACATATTAATTAAAAAGGCCTTGCAGTATAACAACATAATTATAGAAATCAGAGTATTTCTATAAAATACTTAGGGTATTTTTATTTCAAAAGTAATATAACATGCTTGACAAGACTAATATAGATCTAAAAGCTTAGATTTCTAAAACTTAAAGCCAAAAAAGGAATCAATTGAAACATGAAAACTATTTAATCTTATGTTAGGGGAAGTTAATTCAGTTCTATCAAAAGGGCTATTTAACTAAAAAGATTTGTATAGTTAAGAGAATCACAGAGCCATTTAAAAAGAGTACAGTAGATCTATACTTCTAGGAAAAGATTGCTTGGATTATCTTTTCCAATTGTTTTGACATAGGGTCTCATGTAGTCTAAACTGACTTCAAACTTGCTTGACCTCTTGATCACCTGCCTCTACTTCCCAAGTATGGGGATTACAGGCTTGTACCATCACATTCATGTTGGGCTTTGCTTGGTTGTTTTGTTTTGTTGTGTTGTGGTTTTTTTTAATTCAGGTATACATACATATTCACAGATCTGTAATCTTAGTATTCAGAAAGTTGAGGCAGAAGGATCAAGAGGTTAAGGTTGCAAGTGCATTGCTGACATAAACAAAAGACAGCAGAACCTTAACAAAATGTACAGAAAAATATCTGAAAGCATATACTTCAACTAATGTATAGTTGCTAACCCTTGGAGAATAAGGAGCAGTGAAAAAAAAGTAATTTGCCTTAATCTAGCCTCTGTAGCTGAACAAGTTTGGCCAAAGTAGATTCTCTGTATAGTGAACTACAACCTGTAAAAATTGGAATCTCACCTTGTAACCAAACAATTGAGTACCAGTCAATCAAAGAAGCTGACTTTATAGCCATTTAGAAGCTGAAATCTCCTAAATCATGAATATATAATCCCAACACTAGTAGCAGCCATCAAAGTTATATCATATTCACTTGTCTTCATTGCTTATTTTTCCATCTAAATGTTAAATTCCAAGAAATCAGGAACTATTGTTTCTTCAGCTCTATAGATTCAGTATGTTTTTAGCATGCTGGATTTGAGCTGAAAAAAGAACAGCTTCTCAAGGCTGTAGGCAGAATTTTTGTGTACTGTGTAAAGTTTACCCTTGGGTTAATCAAATGCTGATTTCTCTGCCCTGGCTTCTGGTTTCATGGCTTTGTTACGTTTATTTTTAGAAGCTCCTTCCTCAAATTTATATAAACATTGCTCTTCATTCATCCTCTGCCTTGCCAATAAAGACCAAGGAGCCAATACAGAGCTTTAGAGAGAAAATAAGGTGGGACTTCCAATGCTAGGAGTGGTAGAAAAAAGAGATGGAAAGGGAAAGAGGGAGCCACGAGGAGAGGTAAAAAAAAATATCAGGAGAAGAGGAACCAAGGAAGGATGAAAAATGCAAGATGGGAATATTGTCTGGGAGGAAGCCTGATTAGCTGGGAGTAGTAATTGTTCAGCATTTGGCTCAAGGCAATTTTAATAAATCTTTGTCTCCCTATGTGGTTATTGGGGAATTCAGCTGGTTAAGAAATAACTGCTGCTGTACTAATCTTATGAATCAGTCTTAATATAATAATGATTTTACATGAGTCAACAGCTGCTAGACTTACCTGTATCTCCACCAACCAGTCCACAAGAATGGCCCTCATATCACTGGTGAGTTCCATCTGTCTATCCATGTATTTCTCAATTATGAACTCTTCCTGTGTCGGTGAAAAATGTTAACAAATTATTCTTGTACTTCAAAATTCTAACAATAAACTTCTTCATGGTTATAACTCGCTATTTTCAACTGGTATCAGATATGAGCATATCAGAGTATCCTTTTCTGAACAAGTTCCTGCTATCTTTGGGGAGTAGACATATAAGATATTTAAGTGTCAGAAGAGATATTGGGGAATTCACCTATAGCTGTCAATGAATACTAGAAAAGTTGCAATACTTCTTTGCAATTCAGTCTAAAACACATTATCATGGTGTGCAGACCAGTGTTTTTCAACTTTGATATGCATATGTAGTACTCAAATATATTTCAAAGCTTCCTATTTTGATTTAGAAAACGAATCTTAGTTTCTACATTTATGTTAAGATTTCCAGTGAGATCCACCAGAGCCAGAGCTGCCTGACCCTTTAGCTACCCCCACTGACTACTCTGTGGACCATGTACTATCATGTGAGCTCAAACTCAGGCATGAGCTCCAGAGCTAATCTCCCTCACCCACAATCCATCCCACCCACTGTGCTACCCAAAAAAATCTCATGGCTCCATTGAGTACAACCCCAGGTACAAACCTATATTTCAGCTTCAGCCTCAGTCCCACCCACCCCCACCTGAGGATGGTGTAGCATTCTATGCATTACCTCCAGGGAGCACCTTCCACTCCCACTGAGCTCCCATGACTACTATCTAAGGACTACCTGTTAGAATTGGGTGAGTTGGCTCTCACGGACTTCTGAAGCTCAGCCATAAGAATCTTCTAGTTACAGATGGTTTGCTCCTGGGCTCACAAGTTGCATCTATGGCTAGCTTAAACAGGACTAATTATGACACTCCATTTGAACATGAACAGAGCTGCTTCAGCACTGATCTCCAGTACTATTCAGCTGGACCATAACTTGACAAGTTGGAGTAGCAGCAAATAAAGATTCAAATATCCACTCAACAAAGGTAAGAACAGATCTCTAGACCAAGAAAAAACACTGATATTTTAACTTCAGGTGCTTAAGTCTCACATGCACACACACACACACACACACACACACACACACACACACACAGAGAGAGAGAGAGAGAGAGAGAGAGAGAGAGAGAGAGAGAGAGAGAGAGAGAAGTCATAGAATATCTAAAAAATCATGACCTTTAAATTTCAAGTCTACTTTCTAGCTTTCCTTGTTCTGAAAGATGCTGTGTTACGTTACCAAGAAAGAAAAATTAATGATGAGTCTTACTCAGCTGTGAGCCTTGCAAGCTATAATAACAACTACTCTTACAAGATACTTCCCCTGGTACAATAGTGAAGTGAATGTTATGGAAGTAACCAAACACGTTCTGATTGGATTTAAGGCCTGCTACACACGGTGGAAGTCATACCTGGCACCATTACTGGAGCCCCACCAGGGGCTAGACAGACCTAAGGGAAAACCTAACTGATAGTCCACCAAAAGGACATAGTATTAAATGATCTTCTAATGAGTTAATGCTACATTCATCCATAAATTAATTATATTCATCTTTCAATCCTCATCAGAGAAGCTTCTCTTTTTAGCAGAAGGGCGATTAACTAAGACCCACAACTAGTCACTATGTTGAAAATAACACATCATGGAATGATCAGCCCCAAATGACTTAGGGATGCTTGTAGAAGAAGGGGTAGAAAGAATATAAGAGTCAGAGATGATAGTGGATTACACCAAAACATTGTTCTCCTGGCATAACACATATAAACACATAGTGGTTGTGATGAATGCACAGGATCTGCAAAAGCTCTGCCCAGATAAAATCCCAGCATGGAGGAAGAATGTGGGCATGAAATCTCACCCTTGGCTTAGGAGCTATTGGCTATTTATAGCTTCTGAGAAAGGGAAAGTTCATTTTCTTTACGAATGTTTTCATGGTATAGCAATCATGCTCTAGCGGTGGCCCTATACCCAAGAAATAATATTAGGGTAACATATATTGCACTTGATAGGCTTAGAAAAAGAAGGTAAAGTTGGATGCTTAAGTAGGTAGGGATGGTTCTAGGAAGAGCTGGGAATTGATATGACTATGATCAAAACACATTGCTTGAAATTCTCAAATAATTAATAAAATAAATAAATTATCTTTTAAAAAATCTTAGAGAAAGAGAAAGAAGGCATGGAGTTAGATGGGCAGAAAGAAGGGGACGATCTGGGAGTAGATGAGGGAAGAAAAATCATGATCGGAATATATTGTATGGCATATGGCTCATGTGGAAAGGTATCACATGATGGAAATAACATATGGAAGACAGAAATCACTGAGATTGAAAGCGCTATGGTCCCAAAATACCCTCAAGGATTCCTCTAATTATTGAATTTCCTCTTACAAAAGCTACCTATGAAAGGTTATTCTACTTCCTGGTATCACCTCAAGTGAGGGACCAAGCCTCTGTAGAACATTCTAGATCCAAATAATAACATAAAAATCATGGAAAATCTGAAACTTACCAATTGTGTAGAAATATGGGTATCCTGGATACCTAGTCTATGTTTGACATATGAAGCTGGTGTATTACTGTGTAACTGAGCCCTTTATCTGAGGGATCTGATGTGAACTTTGGGTGCTCAGTGTCAGAATTGAATCAAATTGTTCAATAGTCAATTGTGTTAGAGAAACGGGCAATTGCTGCTGTACAAAATATTGTATTAGCTTTGGATGAAATAAAAACAATGTTAATCCTTAAAAAATAAAAATTACAACTTATTTTACCTTAAATATATACTATATGAAAAAATATATTTTCAAAAAATAAAATCTAGGAAATGGAAAACATTTTCAGATTTCATCTAATACTATTAAGCCAAGATGCAGTTAAGGGAAAAACAAAACAAAAAAAAAAACAAAAACAGAGATATCTCCTGGTTTCTCTAAGGTATAGATGGTCCTGAATTATAACATTTCAACTTAATTTTAATACTTTGTGATAGGTAAAAAGCAATATATATCCAGTAGAAACATAATTACTGGTTTTTAATTTTGATCTTTTTCAGGGCTAAAACCATGTATTATAATCCTCTCTCTCAATGCTGGGTAGCTTCATCAATTAATATTTTACAGTTAATGTTCTGGCTGAGAAGGGATATTTCAATTTTATCCAGATTTTATCCGCTTCATACACCAAGACCTGAATGTACATTAGAAAACTCATGGATTCTAAAATCAGGTAACTAATTCTCTCTAGAAAAAGTGTGAGATGTGTATGTACTATCATATATAAAGTATGGTGGATAATCTTCTTACCTATTTCTTAAAGAGAAGAAATTTTGGAACTAGTGAATATTTAGAACAAACCTTTCATTTTCAAAGGCAAAGAATACTGCACCAAATTGGAAAGTTGAAACAATAGGTGTAACTATTACACACAGTATCAGAAACATGGGGAAACAAGGAAAATGACCTCTAACAGAAGTTACTCAGTTATAAGGTACTTAGGATTTCCATGTCTTAGACTGTCTGATCAACAGCTAGATGTTGTAAAGTCATGGTCTTCATGGTAGTCAGATTTTTGTTTCTATTTCAATTCTACCATATATGACTCTGGGTAGTTTCCCCTACAATGTAAAAGGAAGATAATAATCTCCACCATTAAAACATTTTGGATGAATTAAGATGTCTACAAATCATTTAATATAATGGTCAACTCACAATAAGCTACCAATAGATGTTATTCACTGATATTGTTATTTTTAACATCATTGTAGGCTCCTCCAATTTACATGCTGAGGAAGAGAATGAGAAGAAAATGAGAGCTAAAAATCACTGTCCACTTTCAGCAACCTTCATACCAACCTCTTTTTCTTTCAAGTAAATGAAGAAGTCTTTGTCATATATAGAATTCAATAATGGATCGTGGTCTTCCTTTTCAGTATTTTCCAGTGCGTCACTGTCATCCAGTATGATTATCTGCTTAGAAATAATCAAAAAGACATTAGGAAAGGAAGATTTCAAAGAAAGACTAGTCCACACATATTTTCATTTCTCTATCTTTTATTATGGTTCCTCAAGTTTCAAGTATTCTGAAGTATCACAGATCTTGTCTTGGCCCTGCAATCTGCAAACTGTTCTGCAATCAATATATCAATATTTGCCTAGTACATGCCTGTTCTGCCCCAGGAACAAGGCATCCTTTTTACATGTAACTTTCAGCCTCTCTCTCTCCATATATATATGTACACACACACACACACGCACACACACACACACACACACACACACACACACATATATATATATATATCACCCATATATATGTATAGGTGTTGTATAGGTGTTCTGGGAACTGAAACAGAGTCCTCTGCAAAAACAGCAAGTATTCTTAACTACTGGGCCATCTCTGCAGCCCCAATTCAAGCCTCTCTAATGACAACATTTTAATTTTATTATTTCAGCTACGTCATCTGCCTTCTAACATCTCATGCTGTCCCCCAATCCTTTGATCTTCCCTGATTCATCTTAATTTTTTCCTACATCTAAACCGTTATCTAAGTTGTTTTGCTTCTAAATAGGGAACATTTCTCCTTCAACTTGTTAAATATCATTCCTTTGTTTCATTCTTACAATTTACAACTTAAATACTTGTGTTATGCCCCAGTCCTTTGATCTGCCCTAATTCATCTTAGCTTTTTCCTGCATCTAAACCTTTATCTAGGTTGTTTTGCTTCTAAATAAGGAACATTTCTCCTTCAACTTGCTAAATATCATTCCTTTATTTCATTCTTGTCATTTATAACTTAACTACTTCCCTTCTTAGGATATATATATCTCTCAATATTTTGGCCTTAATAAGCATAAATACCTTATGATTGCCAAGCTTCATCACTATAAAATCATAAATTAAAGATGTCCTATAAGATCAACTTGATATCAGGGGAAAGTTTCAAAGAGTCTAGTAATTTTTTTCCATTTCATGGGTAACCTCAGGGTATGAAAAATGAGAAATGGGAGATTATGTATCACTTCTCGTTAAATAAAATAAGAAGACAGCTAAAGAAATATCATCTCTTCTTGAGTGGAAGCTCCTTCCACAATACTGTATACATTGCTTAGTTGCTTAAGAAGCATATAAAAAGAACACTTTTGAGGTTCTGGAGTTATGGCTCAGTGGCTAAGAGCACCTGCTGCTCTTGCAGAGAACTTAAGTTCAGTTTTCAGCAACCATTTTGGGCAGCTCATAACTGACTATAACTGTAACTCCAGGGATTTTCAATGCCTCTGGCTTATATGGATACATAAACTTACATGCATAGACACAGATACAGTCAGTCAGTCAGACAGGCAGGCAGGCAGGCAGGCAGTCAAATGAACACACACTTTATTAAAATATTTCTTAAATAATCTCTTTGGTGAAGGATAGTTTATCTTAAATCAGATAAGTCATTTTACCTAAATTAAAGCCCCTTACTTATCTAATTTAAGAAAAAAGAGAAATAAATACCTCAGTCTCTTTTCCACCCAGAGTTGACTGAAAGCTTTTGGAACTAGATACATATGGATTGGAATTCATGACAGGATTGAATGTCTCTAAACATGGCATGAGAGCATTGGAATTGTCTGTTCTGGATTCAAAAGTATTGCTAGACATATTAGGGCTATTCTCACTTTCAAAGATAAGGAATGATTTGAAAAATTCTTCTTCATCAACAATTTTACTCTCTTCAAAATTCTGTAGATCTGTAAGGGATAACTGGTCTGCAGAAATGAGACCCTGACTCAGTGCTAATACCGTCTCATAAAGGGTATCTATGTTGAACTCCTCAGTAGTTAATGACATGCTGGTTATTTCACCCTTCTCAATGTCAGACTTATGATCAAAGGTCAAAGAGTCCTTGAAGCTTGCCCTTTTAATGCTGGGATTCTCTTCCAAGTTCAATAGTTCCTTTGGTGTAACCTCTGTTTTAGTGCTAGGTTTCTCCTGTAAGGCTAAGGGCTCCTTTAGAGTAGATTCATCAGCTGTAGATTTCTCCATCAATGCCAATACTTCCTTCAAGAGAGTCTCTACATTACTGGGTGGATTCTCCTGAAAGGCTAAGGCCACTCTCTCCAGCCTGGGATTCTTCACTAAGACAAGTAGCTCCTTCAGAACAGTCACCAGTTCATCTCTGTGCTTCTCCTGTGAAGATAAGGGCTCCTTCAGAGTTGCTGCCTTGTTGATGCTGGTCTCTTCCAAGGACAAGGATTTCTCATCCTGAGCTTCCATGACAGTAGTATAATTCCTGATGAAAGCCTCCTTAATAGACTCATCTTCTGTGATCAATGACTTTATGAGGGCAATAATATTCTCAGTGCTGAGTTCTTCCTGAATGTTTAAAGGTTCTTCCAAGGCCTCCAAGGCCTCCGAGGCCTCCGAGGCCTCTAAGGCTTTCAAGGCCTCCAAGGCCTCCAAGGCCTCCGAGGACTCCAAGGCCTCCTTCATAGTGCCAGAATGGTTCTGAGTGTGAGGTGACTGATGACTAAGAGGCCCATCAACATCACTACTGGTGTTCTCATTCAATACTTTATTTAAGATGAATTCCTGTTCCAGAGCAACAGGCCTCTCTTGGCTTGATTCTTCACTGGAGGAGTGTCTGTCCTTACAAAAGAGCTTTCTTAAAAAGGACTCTTCTTCAGAAACACTGTCCTGGGAGTCAAACATTTTCTGGGGGGAGTCATTTTTTCTATCAACTTTCTCTTGCAAGTCCAAAGACTCATGGAATTTCAATGTATCTTCATCAGTAGAACTGAAAGGAGAAAATAAGTCTTGAGAGAAGAAGTTCTTGTCATCACTTGAAGCCACTGATTCTTTACTATGTGTTATGTCTTGACTGGTGGTCTTCTGTGAGGCCAATGGTATTGAGAGGGATAATTTTTGTGGAATTAAGCAGTTTTCTGTTGGTGGCAATGGATTCTGAAGGAACTCGGGTGTAGGTTCCTTCCTATGTGATCCAGGCTTTATAGAAAACAAATTTCTATCTTCATCTACTGTTTCCTGCCACTCTGACTGTGCTTGTTGTGAGGTTATTGTATGAGTAGCACACTTTCTTATCGGTGAAGGTGTATTTTCTTTCCTAAAGGATAATGGCTCCTTAGTTGGTGACTTTGCTTCTAGTATTGGTAATACTAGTAGATTTCTCAAATGAAACCCCATCCCTTTAGGAATAGTTTGCTTCATCTCTAACTTTAAAGGCTCATGGATGGAGGCTGGCTCCTCCCTGATGTTCTGTTTCTTAAAAGCTGAATCTAATTGAAAATCTGAGTCCTCCTCCATGTGATGTCTTGGTGAGACATAGTGCTTCTTGTGCTTGGATAATTTCCCAGGACTGTTATGCTTCTTTTGCAGTGGAGATGACCCCTGGAAAGGGGGATCTTTCTCAGTGGTAGACTTCTTAAAGGACAATGGCTCGCTAGTGACTGTTTCTTGTACTGCAGAGTTACTGAAGAAAAGTCTCCTTTTAGGGAGCTCCTGCTGCTTCATTAAAAATGAGGGCTTCTCCAGGTGAGGGGCCTCCTTCATCTTCTTCAAATCTGTAGCTAGTAGAAAATGTAACATATTCTCCTCAGGGGTAGGAGTTTGCAGAGTCAGGGATTTTTTCACAGTGGACACCTCCATTTGAGGGATGTGCTTGTCCAGTAGTACAGACGGCCCATGGAAATGGGAATCGTTCATCTTAGGCGTTGACTTCTTAGAGGACAATGGCTCATTTTCATCAGTGACTGGCTGAACTCCTAGTGGCCTCAAATTAGTGTCTTTTTCCTGAGTGTCACAGTTATTTTTAGAAGAGGACAGCTTCTTTGTGTGGGTTGCTTCATTGGTACTATGTTTCCTTTTTAAAGTAACTGGGTCTATTAAAGTATCATCTTTGTTATTTGTATTCTCTTGTAACACCTGTGGCTTGGTGGAGATGCTTGCATCCCCTTGAGTATTATATTTCTCTTGCAGAGAAGATGGCTCCTGTAACAAAGACTTCATCTCAGTGGTAGGTTTCTTTTTCCTGGAATGTGGCTTTTTGACTGATGGCTTCTCTTTAGTAGCCACCACATTTAATGCTAATGATTCCTTCTTGAATGAACTCTTCCCCCAAATAGCATGCTTCTCTTCTTGAACAACATGTTTATTATTTAAACACAATGGGCTTGAGGTGAGCGTCATCTTCCCAATAACAGGCTTCTTTAAATCAGTCATCTGTGGATGGAAATCATTAACAAAATTTTAGCCATCCATAAACAATAGCTTCTGGTGAAGCTGCATCTCTAAAATCAGGTATCCCTTATTCCCTAAGGCTACTACCTCCTCAATGATGGTTGCCTCTTCAGGTTTATCCTTCCTTTTAGAAGTCATCAGCTCTGTATCAAACTCATTGCAATCTTCAGTCTTCTCCAGCAAGGTTTGTGGCTTCTCCATTACAAGTGTCTCTTCAGTAGCAGGCTCCTCATTTAAAACCAATGTCTTTTGAAAGACAGATGGTTCCTCAGTAGTTAGTGTTTTAGGCTTGTTTGGTATATCCAGAATAAACTCTTTCTCCACGTTTGACAGTGAGGTAACATGTCCCAACTTAGAACTGTAAATAAAACAAAGTCAGCGTAAGAAGAATGTAACTCCTAGTCCTCACCCACCATTTCATTCTGTTGCTACATTAACTAAAAGAAAAAGGAAAAGCTTCAAGCCCAAGACAGTGCAAAGGGTTAAAAAAAAGAAATGTCATACCGAATCAAGTTAGTACCACACAGTATAGTTTCTATTCCTACATCCTTACACTTTGTACTTTTCTCATGAAATTCATGTTATACTTTTTTACATATAGTTCATTGCCATTATTTATATACAACGTTCCTACAATAATACTTATTTGGATGCATTATCTGTATACATATTGATCACTCTCATTAGAACTAGTCATTTATCTTTGTCAGCACCATGCCTCTGATAAAATGCATGTTGAAATTATTACTGTTTGAGAGATGAAGATAATTAGAGATGAAGGCTTGTGATTAATATTGATGGTATCTAACAATCTTCTCTGTACCAAGAAGTATTCAGAAGTTTGACTTCTCATTAGTTGTTAATTTGAATTTTATTCTTCAAATAATTTGATTATACTACGTTGATCACTCATTAATTGTTGGGAGCCGACTCTTAGCCGAAAGTGGCTATCATCTTTACAGCCATCTCGAGTCATATACCCTGACAAGAGACTTGTTTTCAACAGCCTGCAATAGCTGAGCACACTCTAATAAACATCTTGTTACACTGTTTAGTGCCCCCAGCTGCAAGGTGCTCCTGGTATCCATGGCTACAAGGCACGTGACGTAGTGGCTTCAGTTGAGCTTGTCCACGAGGGCAAGTCACGTGGTAAAGGGTATAAATACCCGGATTTCCTTTCTATGTATGGAAGAAGTAAGAAGGTGGGAGGTGGAAGGAGTGAGGAGAATATAGAAGAAGAGAGGAGAATAAAGAAGAGACTTGAAGAGGCTCCACCGGACTCTGTCTTGTATCTATCTTTTGCATCTCTCGCCCCTTTTCCGCCCTTCCTCCGTCCCCACTCTCTCTCTTGCTAGACCCTGACCTGCAGACCGGAGCAGCAGAACCAGCCAGCCTTAACAAGGTAGCAGAACCGGCCGTTACAAAAGAAACGGCCGTTACAATTAATCATGGAATTCTATTCAAACCACCATCCTGAACACAAGGGATAAATGTTTCTAAAGACTATATAACATATGATTCAATCCACACAAAATATTCAGGATGCTAGGTTATAGGACAGCAGTTCTCAAATTGTGGGTTGTGACCCCTTGGGGGATGAATAATCTTTTCACAGGGTTCACCTAAGACAAAAATATTTATATATGATTCAATCCACACAAAATATTCAGGATGCTAGGTTATAGGATGGCAGTTCTCAAATTGTGGGTTGTGACCCCTTGGGGGATGAATAATCTTTTCACAGGGTTCACCTAAGACAAAAATATTTATATTATGATTCATAACAGTAGCACAATTATAGTTATGAAGTAGTAACAAAAATAATTTTATGGTTAAGGGGTACCACTACATGAGAGAAATGTATTAAAAAGTTGCATGGTTAGGGAGGAGGAGAACAACTGGTATAGGGAGAGCTGGAAATTAAATGTCTAGATATAGTTTGTTTTGAAAGCATTAACATTTTTAAAGTTACACAGTGCTAGTAGCTCTAGAAAAAATTTGAACCACTGTATTGTAAAATATAACAATTAATTTAAATAAAATGCCTTATTAAGATTCTGCTCAAAAAAAAAAAAAACCATGCTCCCAGGCCTTCCTGATGAGGACATTTACAATTCATCTCCAGGTCTTCAGATAGTCTAGGTATAATAAGAACATACATTGTCTGGAGCTAGCCTGTCAAGGTTCAGATCCTGTGTCCTTATTTAGGACCTAGGTAACCTCAGGCAAATTTACTCAGTACTTTGGGTTCCCTACCTATAAAATGAGGATAAAAGTAATAGCTCTTTAATAAGTTTGTTGTGAAGATTTCACAAAATAATATGCTTAATGACATTTAAAGAAATGTTAAGAACAGTTAAATGGCAATAAATTATACAATTTAGATAAAATAAACAAATTTGTAGAAAGTCACAAACTACTAACACTCATTAAAAAGATAATAGAAAATTAATTAGACATATCATATGAAGGAACTGAGTTAACAACTGAAAAACTGACCACACAGAATTCAGGCTCAGATGGCTTCACTGGTAAAGTATACCAAAAGTTAAAAATGAGATTAAAACCAGTTTCTCATAAACTCTTTAAGAAATAAGAAGGAGGGAACAGTTTCCAACTCACACTTTAAGAACAGTGGTATTATGACTTCAAAAGAACAATAGTATTACAGGACAATAAAACTAAAAATGATTACCTCTTATGTATATAAATGTAGAACTCCCCAACAAAATACTAGAATACCAAATGCAGAAATGCATTTTAAAGGATGATGCATCATAATCAAGTTGACGCCCTAGTAGTGCAAAGTTATTTTAACACCCAACATTCAAATATTATGCCATACTAACAGAAGAAAAATTATGTGATTATCAATAGATCCATACAAATCATTTGACAAAATTCAATACTTTTTCATAATGAAAACCACTCAGCAAACTATAAATAGAAATGAGATTCTTGGGCTGGCAAGATGGCTCAGCAGGAAAAGCTGCTTGCTATTTGGCCTGATGACTTTAGTTCAATCCCTAGGAAGAACATATAAATACATACATGCAGATACAAATGTGAAAAAAAATAAAGGATAGGGCATACTAATTGTAATCAATAAGTTGTTTTGTGTGTGTGTGTGTGTGTGTGTGTGTGTGTGTGTGTGTGTGTGTGCATACCTAGACAAATAGACAGGCAGACCAATGGAAAGATGGGCAGACAACAGACAGGTCAAAAGATGAAAGATAGGTAGACAGACAGACAACAGATGGACAGACAGACTGATGAAAAGATATAGATACCAGACAGACTAAAAGATGACAAATGAACAGACAACAGATAGACCAATGGACAGACAACATAAAGACAAACTGAAAGATGGTAGATAGAAAGATGAACAGATGACAGACTGATGGACAGACAACAGACGGACTGAAAGATGACAGATAGACACAAATATGAAGACACAAACATGAACATACTGACAAACTGATGGACAGATGGACAGACAGCGGTCAGACTAAAAGATGACAGATAGATGAACAGACTGACAGATAACACAGACAGAGGGACAAACAGATGGACGGACAGACAGACGGAAGACTGATAGACAACAGACTGACTGAAAGATGACAACTGGACAGATTAACAGACAGCACTCTGATAGACTGATGAACAGATGGACAGACAAAAGACTGAAAGATGACAGAAAGGAACAGACAACAAATAGACTAACAGTTGACAGACACACAGACAGATGGACAGACAGACTGAAACATAACAGACAGATAACAGACTGACAGACAACAGACAGTCAGACAACACAGATGGACAGACAGATGGACAGACAGACAGACAACACAGACAGACGGACGGATGGACGGACGGACGGATGGACGGATGGACGGATGGACGGACAGACAGACAGACAGACAACACAGATAGACAGACAGACAGACAGACGGACGGACGGACGGACGGACGGACATACATACAGACGGACAGACAGACAGACAGATGGATGAATGAATGGACAGACAGGCAGATGGCACACAGACTGAATGATAAACATATGGACAGACAACAGACAGGACAGACAGATAAAAAGACCATGAATTCTAGTAGAAGAGCTTGGGAGGGTACATGAGAAGCTTTATTGGGGTGAAAGGCTAGCAAAAATGCAGATATAGTGTACTCATGTATGAAACCTTCAAAAAACAAATACATATTGAGAAAAAATTGGATTTGTGAAGCTGGTAAAAGACATGTACAAAATGCTAAAGTTAAAATCATATTTAATAGTGACAGAATAATGCCTTCTATCTAACATTACCAAAAAGTCAAGAATGACAAACTTTTGGATCGTCTACATTTTATCAACATTCTAGCTAAGGCAGTTAGGTAATAAAATTAAATAAAGGCATTCCTATTAGAAAGGAATAATCAAAATTATCAATATTATTGTATAAGATTATATATAGTAAATATATATAGACATGTATTTATATATCCTATATATAATCCTAAGGAATCCACAGAAAAACAGTTATAACTAATAGATAAGTTAAGGAAGATACCAGGAAAAACTAGATGCCCATATGCAGAAGAATAAAAATAGACCTTTATTTATCATACTGCACAAAACTTATACTCAAGTTCACCAAAGGCCTCAATTTGAAACCTAAAACACTTTAAAACTGCTAAAAGAAACATCAACTGTACCTTATGAGATATAGAAGTAGAAAAGTACCTTCTGAATAGGACTCTATTTGCTCAGGGATTAAAGCTAATAATTGACAGTTGGGACTTCATAAAATGTAAAGTTTCCACACAGCTAAGGAAATAATCAAGCAAGAAAAGATAAGGCTCACAGAGTGGAAGAAGTTCTTTGTCAGCTCCACACTGACAGAGGAGTAATATACAGAATACATAAAGAACTAAAACAAAGTCAGAAAAACAGGTTATGGATCAAAACAAAGGGTTATCGACTGAAGAAATCAAATTTGCTAAGAAATATTTCTAAAAGTGTTCAACATCTGTGGCAATTAAGGAAATACAACAGCATGGAGATTTCATCTCACTCTAGTTAGAAAGGCTTAGATAAATAATAACATTTGATCATAAATGCTGGCTGTGGAGAAAAGGAACCCTCATTCACTACTGGTGGGAATGCACACTAGAGCAGCCAATCTAGAAATCAGTATGGAGAAACCTCAAAAAGCTAAAAATAAGTGCACCACATGACCCAGCTGTACCACTCCTTTGACCACAGGACTGGACATCCTACTCCATGGATCTTTCTCAGTAACAGTCATTGTTCCTCTATTCAAAAAAGCTCAATGTCCCTCAACAGATGAATGAATAATGAAAAAATGTGGTAAGTGTGCATGACAGAATACTATCTAGCTGTAAAGAAAAGACTTAAATCATGAAGTTTTCAGGACAATGGACAAAACTGGAAAATACTGTGTTGATTAAGGTAACTCAGACCCATAACAAAAAATGCTGCATGTTTTCTATCATCCGTGCTTCATAGCTCCAAATTATCACATAATAACCAGATACACAACCTTCAATAACCACAGAAAAGTAAAAGAAGACCATTGGCGGCGATGATAGAGGGGTAATAGCAAGATACAGGTGATATAAAGGGGAAATGGACTAAGTGCATGCTGATAAGAGCCTGATATGGATGTCTCCTCAGAGGCCTTCAAGAGTCTGACATATTCAGAGGCAGATGCTCACAACTAGCCATTGAACTGATCATGAGGTTCTCAATAGAGGAGTTAGAGTGAAGACTGAAGGAGCTGAAAGGGTTTGTGGCACCATGAGGAGAGCAACAATACCAACCAACCACAGCTCCCAGGGTCTAAACCACCAGCCTGGGAGCACTTAGGGGGGGATCCAGGGCTTCAGCTGAATATGTAAGAGTGGAGGGCCCTGCTGGGCATAGGTGGAAGAAGAGAACCTTGACCTCATGAAGGCTGGATGCCCCAGGAGGTGGGAATTTTGAGGGTGGGGAGGTAGGAGTGTGGGGGGGTAGATAGAGGTTACATCCACAGAGAAGAAGGAGGAGGGGCGAGGGGATTGGGGGTTCCGAGGGGGTGGTGGGGGATGGGGTAAGGGGACAACATAGGAAATGTAAATAAATCATCCAATAAAAAAAAGAAGCTCAAAAAAAAAATAAAGGGGAAATGGAAAAATAGGGAGGGATCTAAGGATATCAATACAGAAGGCAAAGAGGAAAGACAAATACCATTAAGGATATTTATAAAAGCCTTAAGGAATCATATTATTTTATATTTGCCCAAAATTACATATAAACATGTGTGTGTGAGAGAGAGACAGAGAGAGAGAGAGACAGAGGGGGGGGGAGAGGGAGAGAGAGAGAGAAAGAGACAGAGAGACAGAGAGACAGACAGACAGAGAGAGAGACAGAGAGAGACAGAGAGGGAGAAAGGAAGGGAGAGAAAGAAAGAAAGAAAGAAAGAAAGAAAGAAAGAA